TAATAATGGTAATGAGTTTAATATAAAAGACTATTTTAATTCAAAAGACTTTGTCCATCATACTACTTATAATGAAACTCCTAAACAAAATAGGATTGCTAAAAGAAAACATAAGCATCTCCTAAATGTCACTAGAGCTTTATTTTTCCATTCCAAACTTTCCACTTGGGTCTTATGCTCTCATACACGCTGCTTTTTTTTTTTATTATTAATAAAATGCATACACCTTTTCTCAAGAATGCTTCTCCATATGAAAAATTAAAGGTTTTTGGATGTTTATGTTATGGTAGTACTCTTGCTGTTAACAAGACCAAATTCAACCCACGTGCTAGAGCTAGCATTTTTTCTTGGTTTTCCTTGCAACATTAAAGACTATCTTATCTATAACATTCATAATCTATAACATTAAAATTTCTCGTAATGCTATCTTTTATGAAGACATTTTTCCTAGTTTAGACAATTCCAATGATGATAACATTGAACAATTTCTTTGACTTTATACAATTCTCGGAATTTTGACTTTGATCAATCCATTTTTCATGATAATAATGTTCATAATAATCTTAATCAACTTATTTCTCATGATACTATTGATCACAATGATTTTATTGTTATTTTTCCTGAAAATGAATCTGAGCATAGTTCCTTAGAAGATATAGCAAAACTAAACGCATTCCTAATTATTTAAAAGACTATCAAGCCAATCTTGCTCCTATTTCTCATAAAAAAAATATCAAATACCCTATAGAATCTTTTATTTCTTTTTCTAGATTGTCTCCATCTTTTAACATGTTGTTCTTAACATTGATGGTAGCACTGAGTCAAAAAGTTATAGTGAAGCAGTCTGTGATGATAACTAAATGAAAACTATGCAAGAGAAAATTTCTATACTGGAGCAAAACATGACCTGTACTATCACCACTCTACCCGCTAACAAGGTAGCTATTGGTTGCAAATGGATCTTCAAACTTAAACATAGAGCTGATGGAATAACTAAAAGACATAAAACACGCCTTTTTACAAAAGAGTATACTCAATTGGAAAGTATGGACTATCTTGACACTTTTGCACCAATAGCAAAATTAACTACTGTTAGGTTCATTCTGTCTATTGTTGCAATAAGAAATTGACCTTTAAAACAATTAGATGTAAATAATGTATTCTTGCATGGTGATTTGGTAGAAGTCATATATATATATATATATATATATATATATATATATATATATATATATATATATATATATATATACATATATATAATTACCTTTGGGGAATGAAAACTTAAGGAAAGAATCAAGTTTGTTTGCTACATAAGTCTTTATATGGCTTAAAACAAGTCAACTGCCAATGGTATGCAAAAGTATCTTCCTTTTTTTGCATGATTTCAACAGGCATCAATTGACCATTCATTATTTGTTAAGAATGTTGATCATAAGATTACCATTTTATTAGTATGCATTGATGACATTGTCTTAATTGGAAGTGATATAAATGTTATTAATGACAGTACCATGATGCTTGACCTTGTTTTCAAATAAAAAACCTTTAGGACTTAACTTACTTTCTTGAATTTGAGGTGGCTAGAAATAGTAACAACATTCATTTATCTCAAAGAAAGTATACTTTAGATCTATTACATTCATTTTTCTACAAAAGTGAATCATTAATGGAGAATAACTTGAGAACCCTACTATTTATAGAAAGCTTATTGGTAAACTAATTTATTTAACTAATACTAGGCCTGATATTACATATGTTGTTAACACCTTAAGTAAGTATGTTTTAGCACCTACTGAAATACATTAGCAAGTTGTTTCTAGGATTCTTCATTATCTAAAGTGCACCACAGGACAAGAGATATTTCTTAATGCTGATAATGAATTAAAATTCAAAGCCTACAGTGACTCAGACTGGGCTGGATGCATTGACGTGAGAAGATCTGTCACGGGTTGCATCATCTATCTTGGAGATTCTCGCATCTATTATAGATCCAAGAAGCAATCCACCTTCTCTCGAAGCTCATCTAAGGAAAATATAGAACTCTTGCCCAAACAGTTTGTGAAGTTCAATGACTAACAAATCTCATGGAGGATAATCTTTTTGCGATCAAGATTGCATCATTTGGTGATCATTTAATGCGATAATCTTTTTACGATCAAGATTGCATCTAATCAAGTTTTTCATGAACGCATTAAATACATCAAAATTAATTATCACACTATCATAAACAAGATTTGACGAGGTTTGGTCAAGTTCCTTCCTATCTAGACAACCCTTCAACTTGCCGACATTCTAACCAAGACTCTCCCTCCTGCCACCTTTTCTACCTTATGTACCAAGCTGAACACTCAAAACATATATGATCATCTTAGGGGGCTCCTAGAGTATTGAAGAAAAGAAAAATACTCCAAGCAATCCATCAAGCTTGGCACACATTCAATTCATTCAAGTGCAATCCACTCTTTTTTTCTTATTTCTTCTGTGTAATAGGATTCTTATATTTTTTAATGATGGTGTATTTTTCAATAATAAGTAGTTGTTTCTTCTTTCTTTTTTTTTTCTTCTTTTCTTTTTCAATGTTCCTCTTCATGATTACAAGGAAGGTCATGTAGTATAAAAAACAATAACTCCTCCCGCATGATACCAAATAGAAGGCCATGTGGTTAATCAAAGTTAATCTAGAAGCTACTTAATGAGGATGAGCCAAATATAATATGAATGGTGTTCCTTAGTGAAAATTCTTTGAAGACAACTTGTGATGAGGTTTTTCATAATAATAAAACAATTTTCATAGGTGAATTTTTTTTATCTTTTCATGACTAAGGAAATAAAGTATTTTGTCAATGTGAATTCTATTCAAATTTCTCATAAGAAGAGATGGTTTCATTTGCTGTGTCACACATTGTTCCTTTGTCTTTTATAATGATAGTGATAATCTTCTAATATCTTTGGAATGTTTTGAACTAATGATGCATGTTAAAAAATATTAAGATTCAAAGATTTTGAAAATGCTAGTATTACAATCTTTTTGCCTCCTCACGTAAGATGCTAATGTATTACATGTGTAGATTGTCTATTGATTGACAAACCACTGGACACTTCAAGTTATAAAATGATGCATGATTTATACAGCGCAAAACGTACTTAAATTTAATCATTGTTTAAGAAAGTTCATCGAATGTAAATATACTAGTCTATATTTCAGTAAGGATTTTGTAAAAATATAAACAATTATCTTGTTTGTGGATACAAAATATAAAGTGTTGCTTAATCTCGAAATATTTTGCTCAAAAATACATGATGCAATTTTTAGATAAACATATGACAACCATATAATAGGAATGTTACCATCATAAACATTATAATCTTCTACATGATTTTGTACTTTTAATCCATAAAAGTTGTGAACTGCACTTAGCATAGAGATATGTATTCACTTTTAGAAGTGAATGTAGATGGTGTCCACAAGACCTTGATTTCCTCATGTAAGATAGAAACCTGCTCTAATGTTTTTACATTATATCTTGTATTTAGTATAATCTACATCACCATGTCTTATTAAGAATGAAATTTTCTCTTTATGTTAACCAATGTTAGCAATTCCAATAAGATATTAAAACATTTGTTTTACTGCTATTAAATAAATTTCTTGTGGATTAGATTTGAAAATACCGCACAAAAATATTATAAATATAATAGTTAGACATTGTACGGTAAAATAGTCAATTAATCATTTGTTTGTATACAATGTTGTCTACTTTCTGTGTAGACCAAGTGAAGTTGTTGGAAGCATGTGTTTTCATTTCTTATGTTTCGTCCAACTTAAAACATCCTTTAAAGTTTTCTTTGTTTTGCACACTTTTATGGTGAACGTATGACCTCGTCTGACTATTTAATCCGTTGTCTTAAGAAGAATCTTAATTCTCCAGTTTTATTAATTATAAAAACACAATTAAGAATAGTCGATATGCAAAAATTGAAAATTTAACAGTGAAAATGAATGAAAAAGAAAGTGATAAATTTGTGAAATGATAATAGTTTAGTGATAAAATGTGTAACTTCTAGTAGCTTCAATTACTCTGAATGACATGCAGGTTTGTCATATTTTTTTATATACTGCACTAAACTCTACAAAATTTATTATGCACTTCTGGTACATAAAAAATAAACACAACCCATTGGCTCTAGGGGCAAATCACTTGATAACTGAAGAGAAACTAGACCTGCAATAGTACAATTTACACGGATTTGGCAGTTGCAACTTGTCTAAAGCATCAGAGAAACTGCTTCAAAAATTCTGTAGCTACAAGCCTTCCCCGTGTGTTCACCGACATTTTGAGCTCGCTTATCTCTTTATCAATGTCCTGTAATTCGAAGGCCACCATGATACTAAATTTCAAACAACAGAACTAAAATAGAAGACAATTTTTTTTATATTGACAAATATATTTATATAAAGTACAACAGATCAATAAAAGTGCCACTTATGTTAGGAAGGTAATAGAAAGCAAGCACAATCATCATCTAGCTGTTTCAAACTATCAGTAAATCTTTTCAAGTCATACCAACCTGGCAGGAAAAATCTGTAAGCAAAACACCCTAACCTCGTTTGGAAGGTGACGTATAAGGTCTCGAATCTAACATCTAATAAAGAGTATCAAATTGTTATTCTATTTATTATATTTTATTTTATTTTTGCATGTTATACTGTTCTTAGCACCAATTACCCTGAGAGAACCATGTTCCGTAGAACCTTTGCTAATGTTTTCATAAATCATTCAGTATCCCTAACTTAGATAATAACTACATGTCACGTATAAATGCAAATCCAAGTTATGGGTCAACCAAATTCTTGCCTCCATAAATTGTACTATAAAATCAATGAGTTTGTGCTTCTGCATATCCTCGCAGTGGTAATTTGTTATAAGGAAGCTAATGTCATATCCCTGCCAAGAGAAACAAGAAGATTACATCAATGATCACAGACAAGTTACTACCTAGTGAACGGAAAAAATATCAACAGCAGGAACAAAGTAAACTTCATCAACAAAGCTGTGATTCTCAGTCACGCGGGGATTAAAATTTCTTTGAAGGGTAAATAATTCACCATAAAATTTAAAAATCACTCATAAATAGAAACTATGCAATATTTACCATATATAAATCAGTGCCAAAATATGATAAAATAAAATAAATGCAAGGTTAATTTTGCAATTCTTCATTTTATGTGTAGAGGATTTCTTTCACCTTTTAAAACCAAGCACTACCTCGGAAATGAATAATAAATAACAGTCTTCAATGTATGCGTATGCCTATTGCTTTTGTCAAACTTTAGTAATAATGACAATGCATCAAATCCAACACATCCTGGGAAGCATGCAATAATACACAATATCTAGGAAGCAACCTCAACAAATACTTAAACAATTAGAACATTCAATGAAAATCTATGCAAATATCTTCAATAGATGTCCATTATAATGACTAGACACTACATTATTCAATAAGAAAATTTATCACCAGACTTCATTGTTAATTTAAAAGAAAATGAAAAGAAAAAAAAAAGGTTTAACCTAATAGATACAAAACCTGAACAGGCTTTCTCCTCAGTACTTGGAAAGCCTCAGCTCTCATTGACAGAAATCTTAGAAATTTCTTGGTCAGTATGTTTTCAAGTTCATCAGCCTGCTTCACCTGTGCATAGGATGATATAGAATAAAATTAGAACAAGGAATTAGAGACAAATTATAATGACTAATGGTATATCTCATGGGTGAATTTGATGCTTGAAAGCAAACTCTCATTCAAAGATTAGTTTGATAAACTGCTGATAGAATCAAATTATAAAAGCAACTTACCACCTTCAGTTGATAGAAGTCAAAGTGAAAAATCTGTTTATAGCTACTTTTAACATATTCAAGATGCTTTCATAATTTCATTTAAGAGAATGCAAGAAAGTTCAAATAAATAGGATAGATGCATTATCTAAATAATAATTAATTTTCACATATTCAATAAAACACTATCTTTAAATCTCTGATTAGAGCACAATTGACCCTAGTATGATTATTGAACTATGAACTGTCCCCCTTTGAGTTGAATGAACATCCAGTTGATGGACATTTAAATTTTTTTATAATCTAATTTCTCAACTCTGAATTTATTTTGCGACGGGAGAAAAGTTAATATCCTTTAAGATTTTCTATTATGCAAAACACGCACACAAGGACTTCTGAACATGGATCTTATATGGTACATACATCAAACTATATGAGGAAACTAGTGACACCCAGTACGCTGTCAAATATTATCAAAGTAAAGATGACGAGTATATTCAGAAAAAAAAAATGACTGTATAAAGTGGTCTAACTTTTTCATAAAATATAGACAACTTGTTCTGGTGAAACCCTATAACACTAGTTTGCATTGGACTCTAAAAGTACTGAAATCTATTACAGTTTTTGACTGGTGCCAGTTACAAAGTTTTAATGTACAATTCTCCAAGTGGCTACTCATCAATTCCAGTCATCCCAGCTGAGTTTTATCGAGTTCAGATTCAGCCACCTTATCAATGGTCCGTCCAAGCACAGTGAAACGTTTTTTTTTTTTCTGTTATTATTCTCAACTTCTACTCCCCTTCTCTACTTACCTAGTTATTCCAAATTTCCAACACAAAGTTGTAGGACATGTTTCAATATTCATGAGAGGTACAGATTGGACAGTACATCAATCTGAAGTTTTACGTATCAACAACACATCATGAAAAGCAAAGTCTTAAAGAAGGAAGAAGCATAAACAAAACTTATTAAGTTCATGAAGGATGTTGAGACTGAAAAACGTCACAAATTTAACAACCTCCAGTTACGGAACCAAAAGTGACGTCATGAACAGAGATGGAATTTTAAATCATTTTAACAAAACATTAATCTCATGACAATGAAAAAATATACCTTGAGACTTATCCGCAATGAATTGATAGATGTTTCTATTAAGCACTTTTCAGCCTCATTTCGGCATATCAAAACCTAGTACAACAAATGCACATATTTTCCATGAAGCATTGGTGCAAAAGTAATATATCATTTAGGAAGGTATAAACAAGAACTATTAAGACCCTAATGAAGTATTAATTTAGAAGGGAATGGTTAAAGAAGACATTAAGATTAAGGCATAATTATCATGATGAGAGTCAGACTAATCCTGATTAAGACATACAGAAATTAAAGCTATTTATTCTGCAGATGAACATAATAGCAAAAGCAAATAATAGAAGAGTGTAGATTCCTAAATCTTGATATTAATGCAGAAGAAAACCTGTGTTCATGCTCATCCTTTCCGATAAATAAATATTTTTTATCCAAAATAAAGCCAAACAAATGTTCACCATGCAAACTTGCAAGCAAAGTGATATGAATCCAAATGAGAAAAAAAATATCATTAATGAAAATAGTGAAATATTACAGAAGCAATCCCTATAATCCCAGAGCTAAGTGCACCACAAAGAGACGGATAATTCTCTAGTGCCCACTAATAGAAACATCCCTAAAAACTGATTCCCCCCACTCACATATTCTCTATGCCACACGTATTTTCCCTAATTCAGTCATTTTCTCAATACTCGGCACCCTTTCCTTTGTTGCTCCACATCTCATACACGCCAGAATTTTGGTCCACTTGTATTTTCCTTCGAATCCTTTTTCTGGTTGTGTATCCCTATCATAAAGATATTGTTTTTGGACTTAATCTTCAAGACTATAGAATTCTTTGAATATCAAAACTAGCCAAGGTATTTTCCTCTATTATAAAGAACAACAAACATGATAGAAGTTCGATTGTAAAGGTAAACAGCCTTTGTCACTACAAGATCTTAGCATGCTTGTGCTTAAGGAATTTTTCCTCCTATTTTGTCCATTACCAATAAAACATAAATATCATTGTGTACAATGGAATGCTAGACAGTATTTTTAAACTTTAACAAAAACTATATGGGCTATCTTGAATCTAGTATATACATGATACGTCTCAACTATTTTTTTTCATCACTTCAGAAATATTTTTAGCCACGTTTACTCTATGTTTTCATCTATTTTCTTTACATATAAAAATGGATCTCTAGCCATGCGCAGCGCACCAAAAATGCACATCATGGGTTAGAATTGAATTATAAAATATTATCCCAAAAAATAAAATAATACATTTATCTTTTGGAGGATTTGCATCCTGTCTTTCTAATGATAATTCTTTCATCCCACATCCTCCCAACCAAACAACCTTCTCTATGTTGATCTCTCTCTGGCTTCTAACTGCAAGTATTCATTTATGTTGCAGTTATTTTTTCTGTTTTTAGATAAGACTCATATCATGTCATTTCCCTCTTTCAGATGAAATTTGCTTCGGAAACAAATTATAATATCCTCCTAAGCTATCATTATAATTGCACTATCACAAGGAAAATGTTGGAATAAGGTATGTCTTGAAGTCCAGCACTCCATTCAATCAAGAAACACCAGAGTTCAGATAATATACAGCATGGTGCTTTCAAGCTCTAACTTTCCTTCTAATTGAAATCTATAAAATAGTTCATCACAACACCTTTAACTCATGCGTTGAGGCACAAACACACTCCTTCCAACTAAGAGCAAGATATCTGCACCAAATTTCCCAAGCTAGTTACTACCTTTCCAAGAACAGATTGTTAAGGTCTTGTTTGATTTTATTTTATTTTTAAGTTTTTAAAAACTATTTCACAAATTAATTTTGGTAAATTGCTTTAGGAAATAAGTTGGAATTTTTTTTATAACTCTAATTTGAAAACTAATTTAAAGAAAAAAGGATGATATTGACATCGACCGAAAATCACAGTTAAAATTGAAAAATGATGATCATGATGACTTCATTTAGAAAATGTAGATATCGTTAATGAAAACTAAAAATAAGTTTTTTAATTTTTAAAAACTAAAAAACTGAAAATTGATTTTAAAGACAGTAATAAAAAAAGCTCTAAGTCACTTCAACCTATTGGTGCATGTGAAGAAGAAATAAAGGAAATGCATTTACAAGATCTTCCAATTGGTCAAAATCTAGCCAACAAGTAACAAATTGATTGTGCAACACTTCACAAAAGCTGAGTCACAAGGACCATATAATTCAAAGAAAAAGATCATAAGGAATGAACAAATTTAATAAAACAATACGAAATTCCTCACAAGCTAGATTCGTCAATCCTAAATACCGTCTAATTTGAACTTTGAAGAAGGAATAAATTTTAATAAACAGAAATAGAACATCTCTTTCTAACCTAAAAGACCCAACCATGCATAAATTACTATTAGCCTAATACCAAAGCTTCTATCAACCTATAAACGAAAAAGAACGATCATATATCATTTCGGCAATTCATCTACATAGTTACATACTCTTAAATCACACCAGCTAGAGTGGAAACATAATTTAAAACAGAAATTACTACATAATGGTATGAAACGAGATGGAAATTACGGGATTGAGGAGGAGTTCGGGGCTGGTCCTGCACATAAAACAACAAAATTCAAAGGTTTTTGTATAAGAAGCGTGAATCGTCGTATTAAAATTAGAAAGCAAAATCCACAATCTCAATTAGATAATTATTTGATTCATTCGTTTTTTCTAACCATCATCAATTAGATTGAGAGAGAGAGCGTACTTGAGTTCAACCTCGGGCTTGTTATGCCTTTCGACTTCTTGACAGGGAAAGTTCTAGAAGCGTAGCGAAGAAGAGAAGAGAAGAGGTGATTTGAGAGAAAATGGATATATATATATATATAGAGTGGCGTTGAAGAGTGAGAGAGGTACCTGGAGGCACATTGCGGCCTCGAGCGTGTTGCGAATGCAGGTCAAGTACAGCCGCAACGTGCTCGCCTGAAAAGCAAAACGGTGTGCTCAATTCAACGGCGTTTCGTTTTAAGATGATATGAATTATATGATGATTGAAGGATTGCAAGAAAGAACGTACCATGAGTTTGGGTTTGGGTCTGAATCCGAGGAAACGCTGCGTTTGGTTAGAAACGAGTGATGATGGAAGAGTAGTAGTCGTGTGCGTGGAGTGTAAGAGAGGATTAAGGATTAAGAGAGCGATTGAAAGAAAGAAAAAGCGGTTAGAGCAGAGCAACAAATAGTCCGTGCAGTGGGGGGATCCCAGGAATTTCACCAACTACGCTTTTCTGCTTTACCAGATTCGCTTCAGTGTGATGTCGTATGGTGCCTTTGACGGATTGTGATTGACCCAATTGCCAAGACCACATCATCTTCCTGTACACCTACTTCCATCATAGCAATTTTTTTTTATGTCCTTTTTATTTTATTTCTCTTTATTTTTCATCTCCAATTGTGATTTTATACCCATATTTTTCTTTTTTATTTTCTCTTCATTTCTTTTCTTTACCTCAAAAGTCAAAATTGGAGTGTATATTTACCTTTTTCCTTCCAGAGGAAAATACACAAGGCAACATGCAATTTTTTTTTAAAGGAAAGGCAACCCTCAGTTAAAATACTCTAAGAATGAATTTTTGGAACATCAACTACTATTTTAAATTATTTTGTTGAACTTTTAGGGAAAATCATAGTTCTCTAAAATTATATTTTCAAAAAATAACAATTATTAGGGGCTTACTTTAAATACTAATTTTCTCTAAAGTCTTATAAGCTTATTCTTATATTAAAGTTAATAATTTTAAAAAATAAATACTTATGTCTGAATCACACACAACTTACCAAAATACTTGTTAGATTTAACATATATAAATTGAAAACTAGAACAATTTTACAATATTAATCTCACTTTAACTATTAAATACCTCTATGTTTAAAAATAAATAAATTTTGCTGCAAATAAACAACTAAATACTTTCACTATTAAGTACTTCTATATTTTTAACAAAGTCGAAAGGTATTAACTTTTTTTTTACAAAAAAAAAGAGATCTCATTCAAAATTTTATAAATAAAAAAATCGTAAGACTAGTCAATAATTTATTGATTTTTTGTAATTTTACCTATCTGGTATGTTCATATGTAAAATTTTTAATAATTTACATCAGTAATCTTCTTTTATCTTTGTTTGTCTGCATACGTTTTATTTAAATTTAAAAACTGTAATGCAAAGATAACTTTAAGTTGCTAGTTTTTTTACCCAATCTCTAAGCAGTGTGTTCATTTGTAGATTGGGCAAAAGTGAATATAAGCGTACTTTTCAACAAGCTACCATGCGGAGAAGAAACCCTTAAAAATTACGAAAAAAAGCGTATTTCACCGAGCTCACATTGATTCCCCAATACCAAAAATTAAGAACAAAATATAACTAAAAAAAAAAAAGTCACTGCTCTGAGGCTCACTTCAAAGTCATTTACAAGCATTGAATTTGAAAGAGAAATTAAAGGTACAAAAGCAAAATGCAAAGGATGATGGGAGAGACCATTAGATTGACTGTACACGAAACTTGTTGGCAACATAGAGCAAATGACTAATGTTTGTGGTGGGATAATTTTGCAGTAGCTTGAGATTTGAAGTGAAATCACCAGCAAGGAGGCGCTTGCGCACGAGAACAAGCATTGCACAGCATACCCGGAGAAGAGTCTCCTGCAGTGTATTTGTTAATTTTCATGTATTTCAACTTAATAAAACAACTATAAAGTACTTTTTTCTTTGTACTGAAACTATTAAGTACTTGGAGGAAGACGAAATAGTTTCAGATTTAAAGTAGCAAGCAGCAACAGCCGAAAGCAACCTACTCATCAATTGAGCACACTGGAGCGCAATGCAAAATGGAGAAAATTTTTATGTCCCAATATTTCATCGGTACAAGTTACAGCAACCATATGCCATGATCAATTTTCATATCTTTCCTTTACCATTACGATCCTCGGTAGTGAAGAATGCATTTTGGAGTAAAGTGCAATGTGGATTACCATTATGAAAAAATAACTCAATTTTAAAGCACAAGCAGTCAAATAGCTTAATATTAGTTCATAAAAACTTAAAATTGTCCTGATCTTCTCATTGATGCTCACTTGCACTTAGTTTGTAATGCGAGGAAGATTTCATAATATAAGAGAAGGACTAAGAATTTTTGCGGGATTTGTTACGGCAATTGTATGCATGAACATAAGAAAGATGGGCATGACTTTTCTTAAAAAAAGGAAAAGACGCCCCCAAAGTACAGAATTTTTCAAAAGAATGTGCGGAAAGCAAAAGGAAAATGTTCACGATATTTCCTATATTAACCCTTTCTTCTCACAGTGCTTCTGTGGGGGTTGATAGCAATGTTAACCAATTAAGTCATATACATAATTGATTATCCTTACATGCATAAGTGATTATCAATTATGTTTTGATCTATCAAAAACATAATCAATTATGCATGTAAAATATTAATCGGTTATGCTAGTGCATAATCTATTATGATTACGGCTAAATTGGTTACGGAGTGTAAATTAATCATGAAATATATATTTTTCTAATAATTTTATTTTTTTATATAAACAATGAATTGGTTAAGTAAAAATTTACATGAATAGCATAAAATGGATATATGGTAATTTTAAATAGAATATTATTTCTTTTCTTTCCAACCCAACAACCTATCAATTATATTTTCACTCTATTTCTTCTATTTTCCTTAAACCAAACAATTTTTATTTCCACTCAATTTCTCGCCTATTTTTCTTCTTTTCTTTTGTTTTCTCACCTGCCAACCTCCTCTCCCTCCAATTCTCTCCACCCATCCAAACATAGCATTGATCTTTACTTATAGCCAAATTCTTCCCCTTTTTTGCCAAGTATAAGTAGCTTTATATATTTTGTACACGAAAGTAACTAGACAACATCCAATGCAACCTCACCTGTCTTATCATTGACGCCAAATATGAAGCAGTGGACCAGAAGTGTAAATTCCAGTCAATAATAGTACAAGGTTAAATATGAATTGTACCTGTGGACCATCAGGGTCGCTTAAAAGTGTGTCCCAAATGTGAAGGCTGTCAGCAAAATTGAATTCCTGAGTCAGCAGAAGAGTAATCCATCTAAATGCATAGAATTGAGGGTTGACCTGACATTCAGAACCACGAAAATGAGCCATTATGATTGAATAATGGTTGAATAATCCAGAATGCATGCATGCAAAAACGCATTATGATTAGTCAGATGCACTATTAGTTAACTAGTTGAGAAACATAAAACAGTATAGGACAAATAATAACGGCCAACAAAATTTCTATATTGAATGGAGCAGAAAGAAGCCAAATTTCTTGTTTATTAATTATTTAGCTTATTTAACAAATTTAATATAACAGACTAACAGAGCAATACACAATGTTGGCATAACAGTAGATATTGCAATCATGCATTGTTCAAATAAATAATTATAAATAACTAATTAAATATCAGAAGTTAAACTGAAAGGAGAATTGTAAGAAGATATATATACTAGCGACTGTCTTACTTTAGAAGTGACCTCAAGATGACGCCACAACTCTTCATCATGTTCTTTCAAAAGCTGGGACAATCTCGTAATGGTTGAACGGATTCCCACAACACTGTTGTCGAGTTGTTGAACAAAGTTATCTCGTAATCCACTCAAGAGCTCAACAAAACAAAAAAATGCATCTGCTTCAGCAAAGGCCTGCAAATTAAGGGGATTGTTGAGCAGAGTTAATCAATAATATCATAAAACATGACAGTAATATGAATCTAAAACACCACTACACCATATTGCCACCTAAGAAAATTGTTTAAAGCAAACTCAACATTCCCTCGGTCATTTTAATTATTTCACATACTTTCTATTTTATGCATATTGGGCAATGCTGTATTACATTTGGTACAATTTTGTGTTTCAATGCCTCCAAGTTAGCAATGTTTCTTAACTGGTCACACCAGAATTTTGGTTTGCCATCAGTGCATACAGACTTGCATACAGTGCATCTAAATTGAAAAGAATAAGAAAGGAAAAACATACTTGGCTTTCATGGATAAGCACTTTTTCAAAATGAAATTTGCAAAAAAAAAAAAAAAAAAAAAATTTTAATCAATAAGTCATTAGAAAACACAAATACAATTAAATGAACGTACTACAGCACCTAAAGTGCAAACTCGTACAATAACAGAAAATGAAGGGTTTGATAATGCATTCCAACATAGATCATATAAGGCAAAATTAGAAAGATTAAAGAGTTTATCATATACTCACTGCATTTTCCTCCTCTGGGTCATTTTTGAACACGTAGAAGAGAGGAGCCAATAACTCATTCATCCCTTGCACATATCTTACACCTGGGTTTAACTTGGCAAAAATAATTAATACATTCTTCAAAGCCTCCTGAAAATGCCTCCCAAAAAACAGTATAAGGGTTCACAAAAAAGTATTTGAATTTCAAGTTTGTATGAATTTTAAGACAAATTAAGTTAAAACCTGATTAGATTTTGCAAATTGGGAATCACCAGAGAAAAAATGCATATCAGGATGAGTGCGCTTTACGTCTCGGTCAATTTGATCAATGATCTCTGTATCCTGTAAAATGTAAAGTGGAAGATTTGCTTGACAACAGCCTTGGCACAGAATATTACAATGCATTAGCATGAGATTATAAAATTGTGCTACAGTAATGAACAACCAGAGTTCATTAAAGATTAAATTTTGACAGCAGAATGATCATTGGTAGTGTGTGGTAACAATCGGCTAAAGCAGTTTCATGAGGATGTGTCATTATTGGAACAAATAGATCACAGGGTAATCCTATAATGTTAACAACTTTAGAGAAGCATCTCACAATAGATGATAAGTAGTTGTCATTACAGGTCAGGCAAATGTGAACAATTCACCTTTCTCGGTGAAGGAAGCTTCTTGTAGAATAGTTTTAGCTCACTTGTAACCCATTCATGTAAACTTAAAAGTGTTATGAACTGATGCATTGTGAGATAATACTGATGGAATATAAGCAATATTATCAAAATACATAAAAATATTTACATAACTTTGTTGTAAGAGTAATGTAACACCCATTATCATTAATAACAGTCAATTATTGTTGTGACTCTTTATCTAATTGTAACTTCTAGTCTAAGAGTCACTCGTTTATCTATAAATATATGTATATGTTGTGTTAAAACGTGAAAGAGAAAACAGAGAATTATTCATCCCAAAAAAAGTACTCTCCTTGTTCTATTTTTGGGCAAAATTTGACAGTACCTATAATCCACCATATCATATAATACTTAAGCGTTTTGAGACTTACACACCACCTCTAGTATACCACCATCAGTTTTAAGCTGAACGGTATATGATAGTTTTCCCTTTAAACAGTAAGTACCAGAGCGCTGTGCATTATACCTGGAAAAATTGATTCCATACACTGGTCTTCCCAAGGCTCAAAGGATGCTCCCCATGAGTAATTTCTGATCTAGAGAGCAAAGCCCTTTCACGGTCAGCATCATCAGTATCACAAATTGTGGAGTTGTACATCTTCCTTGTGATTTCTGACTAGCTAGCCACAGAAACATTCAGAGAGCCAAATAGATAAAGCAAAAGAATAGAATATACATTAACAATCAATCACTGATTCTGCAACAATTCCACTTGAACACACATGCATCCTATAAATGTAACAGATTGAGAACCAATTAAATTGCAATAAAATTAAAAAAATTAACGTGACAATAGAGCCCTTAAATCATCTCTCTTATACAAGCCATAGTTTGACAAAAAAATCAATGTGATGATGTGTAAAGAAAAGTTACTTAGTTCTACAGCTTTAGTTAAACTACTGTCAGTTTTTAGTTATTGAATACGATATTATCAGAATTAAGGATTGTTTCCAGCTTCAACACCCCACCCTAAAGAAAACAAGTTTAAAGTTAATGAAAAACAATGAGATCATAACACAAAGGCGTCAGGGCTCCCTAACCAACAATCTTACAGGATTCATGAGAATCTCCTCTTTGAATTGTTTGTACTGGGACCTCTTCTTTGCTAACTCAGATGACCAAAGCCCTCGTTCTGGTGGAAGATATCCGAGCAAAAGCTGCAAAATAAGCATAAATTACAACAGCGCTTCATAATTTTACTTTCCTCTTTCGACCTATACAGGAAAAGCATTTTTCCTAAATAAATCTAATTCATCTAAAAATGTCAGAAAATACTTTCCATTCTTTTTTATTTTTCCTTTTTCACTGAAAAGACAATTCAAGACTCACTGCACTCCTACTCATACCAAACAGCCACTTAATCAGAATGCACTGATACTGTATAAACTAAGATACAGTGAGGGTGTGAATCTATAGTCCAATGGCAAAAGTTTGCTCTATTTTTGTAATAACTATTTTAAAACTCGTGTTTGAAATGATCTATCACTAGTTGATAAACTAAATTCATTACAGTATTAGAGCACGGACATTAAACTATTTTTGGGAAAAACCGACTAATTGTAAAATGAAGAAAATTATAAAAAAAAAATAGAACGAAAAAGAAACCTAACCTTCCACACAATCGAGCGTATCCCAGCAGCATCAGGAATACCTTGACACGAGAGACTTCGCAACTCGCTCATATCCACCACCTTCTTCGACAACTGCACCAAACAAAACCATCACAAAATCAATACGCTAGTTAAATGCAGTAATCAACGAAAGTTCAACGTCGTTTCACAAAAGCAAGCGAAGGCGGAGCGAACCTCAGCCAGCAATTGAGCCTGGTGAGTGACGTCATAGGAGGAGGGAAAGGCGTTTTCGTGATTTTCGCTGGGCGAATCTTCGATTCTTTGCGTCGGTGGAGGATCTTGGACGTCGGGAGGAGGCAGAGGGTCGGAGGGGATGACAGCGGGCGGCGGAGGACGCGAAGGCTGTGGCGGTTGGAAGGGACTGGCGACGGCGGAGCGGGGAGGGGATGACGGCGATGAGGACCAGAGAGAGCTGTTGAGCCAATCGGGGACTTTTTTCACCATTTTGGCCGGGATTTCGGTTAGGGTTTGTCAATGTTGATGTTGGAGATGAACAAGGATGGACATTGAATTGGTAACATCAACATACTGGGAGATTCATCACATGGAAGAACTAGCAACTCTCCATTTTGCTCACTCGATATTTAACTCTTAATTTAACCTCTAAATTAACTATTTCATATACCTTAGCAAAAATCATAGAAAATAGGATTTGTAAAATTAATTTTGGCAGTGAATAAAAACGTAGTAGATCGAAATTAACTAGTAAACGGGTTTTTTGTTTTGTTTTAATCCAATTCAAATATTTTTATTCTACAATCTCGTATTTTATACTGTAAATAAAAGAAATTAATTTTTTTACACAATTTTGTTTTTCATATTATAGCTTTTATATTATATAATTATTTTAAAAAAAATTAACTATTTTTATTTTAAATTATAATTTTATTTTCAATATTTTAAAATCTTTTTGTAACTTTTTATAATATATCTTATTTTTTTAATTATGTTTTTAAATTATAAATTTATTTAATATTTGATAATACGCACTTTTTAATATATTTTCAATCATAAACATTTATATTTAACTTATATCTTCGATTTATATATTTTAATTTATTATCTAAATTAATTTTCTTACTATAACTTTTTTAATATTAATATTTAATTTTTAATAATCTCAATTTTCTCTATCATTATTATTTCTCTGAAATCTTCATATTTCTCGTTTTTTTATATATATATTTACAAATTTGTCATATTTTTTATATATTTACAAATTTGTCAGTCAGAATGTTTTTTTTTCTTTTTCACATAATTACTTTTTCTCTCTTATTCCCATTACATTTGATACATTGACAAATTTGTTTTAACATGAAACATTTGTACATTTATTTGGATTATGATTTATATTACATTTTATTTAAAAATCTAAAAGTTTAAATATGAAGAAATGTGATGAATATATTTTGTATTTCCTTTTAAATTTTACTATTTTTATCATATGTAATACATTGGAATGTTTCACATAAATACTTAAATTTTGACTTTTAATTAATATAATTTGTGTATTTTTTTATGGAAAATTTTATTTTGACAATCCCTTGCTACAAACATCATCTTATAACTCCATTTCCCCTTATATATTATTATTACAATATTATTATTTATTATTTTATTAATATTATCAGTATATATATATATATATATATATATATATTATTTTTAATGATATTTTTATTATTTATTTTTAGGATTTGAAACGGATATATAATTAGTTAGATTTGAAGTTTAAAAAAACAAAAAAAATAAATAAATGGGAAAGGTGACAAGGTATCCAAAAGTTAAAACATAAAAAAAAAAAAGACGGTACAAGTGTAATTACGCCGAACCTTAGACGTGTCTCTATAATTTATTCAAAATAAAATTAATATATTTTACATAGATAATAATTAAAAAAATTATTTAAAAAAATATATTTTTCATTAACTTTTTAAATAAGATTTTGATACTTTTTTATATCTAAATTTAATATTTAATAATGATTTTTCATTTTGATAAACTTCATAAAAAACTGAATATTATGTTAATTATTCTTTATATTTAAATTAAATATTTAATAATATATTTTTACTGTTAAAAAAACTGAATTCGTATATATATTTTAATTTGAAGGATTAATTTTTTAAGTTTTAAAATATATTTTCATCAAAAATATAAAAACGAAAAATATATTTAACTCTGAAAAATCATCTATAACAAAGTGAAATAAGAGTTTATATAACAAAAGTAAAAAATAAACGAAAATAAACCAATACCTCATAATATATAAGAAAAAAAAGTACATATATAAGTACACCAAACCTCAGAATAATATTGTTTAAATGGTTAGTTAACAAACCACACTTCAACTTAGACTACCTAAATTTGAATATGATATATTAGCATATTAAATATATTTTTCTTTCACGAATTTAAAAGTTTTTTTTTAATCTCAAAATTTATAAATGATTTTTTGAATAATTTTTCAAAATTTAAATTCATTTTTCGTATTTATTCAGAATTTTTCTTATTTTCTTCGTCAAAGTTCACGATGTTAATAAAAATTCTATTAGTGTAGAAAATAATATTTATATTTTCTTCTACTTTTAAAAAAATGATAAATTTAATATTTGAGAAATTAAAAAAATCCAAAATTAAGAGTTAATTTAACAAATACTAAAATAATAGTTATATGTCACACTCTCATCCTTTATGACACCTTATATTATGTCTTTATAGTCTCTTTTGTGGTATCTGGTGCGTTCTTGTGTCCTCATTTTGTTTGTCGTGTCCTCACAACCTTCACTGCATCTATGACATATATATTTTTTATATTATAATAATATTATTGTACACGAAAAATTCCTAACGAAGTTTTCCTCATGCACATTAAAATTTTTCTTTTATATATGCGCATACAGAAAGGGGTAAGGAGGCAGAAAATTTTAGCAAGTAGTTCTCCCTTTCATCCTTCTTCTTCTTTTATCTAAATTTCAAGTAACAAGACTATACTCATGTAGGATCTGGTGAAACAGGAGAGAACTTGAATTAAGTGGCAAAACTTTGGTAGAAATACCACACCAGATAAGGGGAAGTTTAATTCATTCAATATATGAGACTGAATTGTTGAGTATTTTGTGAATAAGGAATAAGAGTGAAAATCTGAACATTAGAATGATTGATTTTGAAGATTTCTCATGTTTTGCAAAACTTAAATTATATGGTAAAATTGTTGTTTTCAACTTAAATTATATGGTAAAATTGTTGTTTTCAACTTAAATTATATGGTAAAATTGTTGTTTTCAACTTAAATTATATATAAGTCATGTTTAATTTGAATTTGAGACTAGTTTGGTTGTCTAAAACTGAGTAATTTGAAATCTGCTAAAATCTGCAAAATTTGATACTATTATTGACACGAGGAAGAAGAAAGGGATATGGAAGGAATTTTTGAAAATGTTCAAGGGTAAAATAGTCATTTCAGGACATGGAAGGAATTTTCGAAAATGTCCAAGGGTAAAATAGTCATTTAGGGACATACATGGAATTTTCGAAGCAGTTAAGGGCAAAATAGTAATTTAATGATTTTAGAAAAGATTTTGGAACCGATTTCGAAAATGATTTGAGAAATGATTTCGGAAAAAGAAGAAGAATATATATATATATATATATATATATATATATATATATATATATTTAAATATAGAATGAAGGTAGCGAGTTTTAAAGATTCGAGTAGTGTGTTGTGACGTGTGTGGGTCGGACCGAGTCTAAGGGTCGATGCTCATAATCGGTCATGAGATGTTATGTATTGGCTAGACTGAACCGGAGGGTTGATGCCCAGAATCAGCCAAGTACTATTATTTATTGACTTGAATGAGCCGTGAGGACAGGTGGTCCAGAATCCGGCAAATGTGAATGATTTTTGTTGTGTTTGAATGGTACCCGGGGTGGTACAGAGTACATTAGTGTAATAACTATGTCAGAAGATTCTGAATGAGGTCTCTGACTTCACTGATTGATCGGGTCAGGTAGACTACGAGATCAGGTGATGAGAAGTCGATAGAGGGATGACTGGTGGCGCGCTCGGAAGGATACTCCAGTATGAGTGATGAAGGACATCAATAATCCTACTCTGTGTGGAGGGTGGTCAGAATGGTACTGCGGGTGCCGATCACAATGTGCCCACAGATGATAACCTCTGAGTTCGGGCATAGTTAGGGTAGACTTCCGGAAGGTGTCTTAGTGTATTGATGATAATATGTAATTATTACTTCTATACATGTTTTATTATTCGAATGATTTAATATTTACCCCTATTTTTCCATGTGGATAGGACTGCGATGATCACTTTTATGTGGGAGCAGATCAGGAGTTGAGAGGTGGAGATGCAACTACTGGACAACCGGGATAGTTCAGTGGGGTAGCTTTGTGGGAGCTACTTTTGCATGTATCTGTATAAATAAATTATGTTACTATGTTTTTGAGATTTTGCCAATAAACCAGAATTTCAGTCTATATTACAATTACAGTAATATAATGTAATATAGATGTTGTTATTTACTTGTTTACTATTTTGCGAAGGTATCATTATAGTAGTGATTTCTACGGTCGTTACAATAGTGGTATCAGAGCGGTAATATCCTTGTAAATCTGTGGGGATGGGTAGTGAGCCTATGATAAGTCCATTGTGATTATACTCTGATATGTGAGTGTGTGTGAATGTTTGCTCTGTATTGATGGTTGCGTTTGATATAGGATGGTACCGCGACCTCCTACTCCTACTCCACCGAGTTTAGATGCCCTAGCAGGGCAATGGAAATGTTGGCAGCTGTCATGCAGCAGCAGGCTACCTACCCACAGTGGAGGCCAACTATGGCGTCATCCTCTGCTAAATTCCACCAGTTAGAGCAGATGGGGCTGACTGAGTTCATGAGGCATAATCCGCCTCGTTTTGGAGGAGATTTGGGTCCAAATGTAGCAGAGAAGTGACTACGTGAAGTGGAGAAGATTTTTGAGGCTACCTTATGCCTGGAGGACAGGAAATTGACCTTCGAGAAATACTTACTAGTGGATGAGGCTGAGTTTTGGTGGTTAGGGACTTAGAGGATGATGATTGCACATAGGGAGGTGTGTAATTGGGAAACCTTCCGTAAGAGATTTCTGGAGAAATACTTCCCTGACAGTGTTAGATTTCAGAAAGAGACTGAGTTCCTGAGTCTTGGACAGGGCAATATGACGGTGCATGATTACGCCGTATGATTTGAGCACTTATCTCGTTTCTACACAGGTACATCTTAAAAATAGTGGCTTTGTAGGAAATTTGAGGAGGACTTGAGGATTGAGATCAAACTCATGGTGGTTCCTTTATCTATCAGGAGATTCCCAGAGCTGGTGGAGAAAGCAAAGACAATAAAGAGACTTCAGGAGGGAGGAGTCAGAGTGATGAGGACCCACCCAAG